AGAACAAGCAAGGCAGCCGCACACTGGTCCGATGATCACAGAGCGAGAGACAAGAAAGGCAAGGCTCACCAAGCCATCCATCTCTCCTCCCCTCAGTCAATCCCACCTGCGTTTATCAGCCAGGCCGGCACAATAAACTGTCTCAGTCACTTCCACGAAAGATCTAGAATAGAGTCCTGTGTTTACTCGTGGTTGCCAGGTAGGAGTGAGAGGAAAAGGGAGAAGTCTTGTTTAAGAGCATTGGTTTTTTTCTATGGTGATGGTCGTGCAATATGGTTAATGGAATTAGTGTTGGTAAATTGTACACATGAAGAGTTACATGTTTGTATTTTATAAATTATGAACCAAGTAGTTTAATGTTTCCTTAAAACTGCTATTTTCAAAAGTAGTATGAAACACAGTTATCTTCACAGGTGCAGAACTTCCCTTGGTCCTTAGATGATAAATTAGATTGAGGCAGAAAAAGAAAATCATGTGAACAGTAAAGTCTATGAGGACCCGCTCCCGGAACGATCAATCACACGAGGCCCAAAGGGCAGCACTTCCCCAAAACAAACCTCAGCAGGAGCAGGGAAGACGCGGAGAGTGCTGTCAGATTGCAGGCATTACAATTACCCTCCCAAACCAAAAGGGTACCCTGCGCGGAAACGAACTGGCTCGGTAAACTTTCACCCGAACCCCAATAAGCTTTAAAAATACATACACATGAAAAATACAGGCTTGGCAATGGTGCTGTAGTGTTCTGTACACAACCACCCATAGGCCGCAGAAACCTAGCACCCCCGTCTTCCCCTGGAGTCAGACGTCCCACTAATCTCGGCCAGCCAGGCTCTTCGCTCTGGAAAGTTCCTTTCACTGTGGATGCTCTGAAAGCCAAGGTGTTATTAACCACGTCCATTTTAACTCCCTTCCCTGGTTTTCTTTTTATTCAAATCATTTTACTGGGGCCTCATACAATGCGTATCACAATCCATATGTCCATCCATGGTGTCAAGCACATTTGTACATTTGTTGCCATCATCATTTTCAAAACATTTTCTTTCTACTTGAGCCCTTGGTATCGGCTCCTCATTTTTTTCCTCCCTCCCTCATGAACCCTTGATAATTAAATAAATTATGGTTATTTTTCATGTCTTACACTGACTGATGTCTCCCTTCACTCACTTTTCTGTTGTCCATCCCCCTCAGAGAAGGTTATAGGTAGATCAATGTGATGGGTTATCCCTATCTCCCCCCACCTTCCTCTTCCCCTCCTGGTATGGCTACTCTCAGTATGGATCCTGAGGGGTTTATCTGTCCTGGATTCCCCATGTTTCCAGCTCTTATCTGTACCTGTGTACATGCTGTGATCTAGCCAGATATGTAAGGTAGAATTGAGATCATGATAGTGGAGGGGAGGAAACATTAAAGAACTAGAGGAAAGTTGTATGTTTCATCGGTGCTATACTGCACCCTGACTGGCTTGTCTCCTCCCCTCAACCCTTCTGTAAGGGGGATGTCCAGTTGCCTACAGATGGGCTTTGGGTCTCCACTCTGCCCTCCCCCTCATTCACAATGATACAGTTTTTTTCTTCTGGGTCTTTCATACCTGATACCTGATCCTATTGACACCTTGTGATCACACAGGCTGGTGTGCTTCTTACATGTGGGCTTTGTTGTTTATGAGCTAGATGGCCGCTTGTTTATCTTCAAGCCTTTAAGACCCCAGCACTGTATCTTTTGATAGCCGGGCACCATCAGCTTTCTTCACCACCTTTGCTTATGCACCCACTTTGTCTTCAACGATCAAGTTGGGAAGGTGAGCATCATGGAATGCCAGTTTCATAGAACAAAGTGTTCTTGCATTGAAGATGGACTTGAGTAGAGGCCCAATGTCCATCTGCTACCTTAATACTAAGCCTATAAATATATGTACATAGATCTATTTCCCCATCATCATATATAAATATATTTACATATGTACATGTCTGTATTTAGACCTCTATAAATGTTCTTTGCCTCCTAGTTCTTTCCTCTATTTCCTTTTACTTTTCTCTTGTCCCACTATCATGTTCAGCCTTCATTTGGATTTCAGTAATTCTTCTCAGCTACATTACCCTTGATGAAGCCCTACCAGGCCTCCTACACCCTCCTCGCCATTGATTTTGGATCACTTGTTGTTCCCTTGTCCCTGGGTTTGTTAACACCCACTTCCTCTCCCCCACCTCCCTGTCTCCTATGGCCCCCTGCACCACACCGAACTGTCCATCCCATTGTTTTCTCCTCCAGATTGGTTATCCTGCCTATCTTATTTAGAGAGACCTGCAGAGATAAGAAGATACACAAAAACAAGACAGAGCAAAACAAAACAACAACAACCAAAAACCAAGGACAAAAAAAAACAGCCCATAAATAGTTCAAGGTCTGTTTGTTGACCTTTACTAGTGTTTTCCGGTTGAGTCTGATGGGGTGCCACGCCCTGACCCCAAAGTCTGTTTTTGGTGTTCCCTCAGGACTTCCTTGCTCTGCTCCCCTTGCCATTCTGTTGAACGCCTTTAGTGTTTCCCCTCTGTGTGGTGGGTCAGATCGGGCACAGTTCCTGCACTGTGTCGCCAATGTTGTACCCTGAGGGTTATGGGTCAGTGAAGGATGTTGTGTCTCATAGTGGGGCCAGCCCTATGGTCCTCTCTGTGCATTGGCTGCTCTGAGCAGGAATATCGTCCTCAGGGCTTGGTGGGCCAGGATGTGCTCCATTCTCTCTCCCTCCCCCTGCATTGCTCCTGTGTGCTCTGATCAGCCATGTCCCTCTCCTTGAACTGTTGCTTCAGTGCTGTCCTCTGAAGTGAATTCTGGTATGGGGGGAGGGGCTGTCCACGTAGTTGGGATTGGACCAGCCCCTTAGACCTCTCTATTGGTTCCCTGCTTCGTGCTGGTATGTTGCATTCATGTCTTAGAGCACCTGGTTGAAGTCTGGTCCCTCTTTCCCTGTCCTTCCTGATTTTCAAAGCCCTCTGGGACCTAATTCTACCTTGCTTATCCAAAATTTTATCACATGACTTGTTAATGGCCTAGATTCAAACCTTAGATATCGCATCAAAGTTCAATCACATCAAGCAGTTACTGTACAATGGGTACCACACTCAGTTTCAAAATACTCTCATTCTTTTTGAACTCCTTGATATCAGGTCCCTTTTACCCCCTACCTTCCCCAACTCTTCTCTCCCCCACCCCCCCCACCCCCCAGAGCCCTTCTTCGACTCCATGTCTTGCTGTCTCTCTAGGTTCATCATTCCTGGGTTCTCATATACCAAAAATAAACCTCCGGTGAGTCCCCTCTATCCATAATGGAGGAATGGGAATAAACTGGATACAAAAAAGTGCATGGGAGAGATGACTATAGGAGATCAAAATGATAAGCCTGACATGAACAGTTAAAACCTTGTTAGTTGATGACCCCTGTACACATTGGGTTTGATCTGGTTTTCAACATTTTCTGGAACAGGCTTTTCCAAAGCGTCCCAGGCCTCTCAGTATCGTCTGCCACTTACTAGTCTTCTTAACGCAAATCTCTGGGATTGAGGCAGAGCTTCCTGGGCACCCTGACTTTTACAAAGACAGTGGTGGTTTTAATTGTTTATACACAGGACAGCAGTACAACATAATGGGAGACATTTGTTGGGCAGGGCCCTAACACAAGACCATCATTTGTTTATCTCTTCAGAGTCCCTAAAAGGACACATGCTGGTACATAATGGACATTCGCCAAAGATTTGTTCAGTTGAGGCAACTTCTAACTTTTAAACAAGAATCCTTGTATATTCACTGCATCTCTGAATAATTCTATCAAGCTAAACAATCCTGAAAATATTTCTGACTAGCAGTCAAGTCGTGAAAATCAATTATTTGTTACGTAACTCTCAAAAGTAAAATGATTTGTTATATATCCACTATATTTTTAATGGTCTATTATTAACGAGCCTTATGTTACTGTCTCAATATTGAACTTTCTTAAATAAAATTCCAACTAAAATACCTAGGGGGGTGTGGGGTCTTTTTTCTAATGTGTTTAGATAGGATTTTTTATCATTTTTTTTAAAGTAAGATAGTATTATGAATTTACTTTTCGGATTTTTTTTTTCCTTATCTTCACAGACTGTTAGACCCAAAAAGGATGTGACCAACCATGGTGCTTTGCCTATCAAAACAACTAGGCCCGTCAGCCTTGGACTCCAGCCTAGACCCACCAATGTCCCAGGGGCCCGGAAACCATACTTGGATCCACCAAAGCCTGTGGGCAAAAGAAGGCTAACTTCAGCATGTGCCTCTTCCGGCCTGACCTGTAAGCCTTCCAGCAATACTCAACAGCACCTGAAAAGTGGGTCATCCACTGCAAGAAAAGCAGCCAGGAAGCCCGTGGGGTCACTTCTCAGTCAGAAACCGAAAACTGCAAAGCAACAGGTAGCAGATCATGGGAACGCTAACTGTGCAGACTCCATGGACAATGCCCCCACCGAAAGCGAATCTTCTGGCCACTTTCTAAGGGAGATAAACAAAGAGAACTGGCCCCAACCCCTCTCAGACTCTGAGAGGAAGCCAGATCCTGCGTGCTGTTCGCTCAGTAAGCCAAAAACGAATTGTCATGATCCAACCCACAGCAGGGCGGCCCCTAAAGAAGCTTTGGGCAAAGGTTTGATGAATAAGGCCATTCCGAAAGACAGAGTTAACAAACAGTTGGTCGGCAAAATGCAAATCAGGAGTGGCCCCGTGAAATCACAGCCGGTGTCTCGAGGAGCGAATCTTACAAGACCAGGGGGAAAACCCCCAGGGACAGTACCCTGTCACGCGGTTAAGCCCCTTAGTCGGACTCTGGCATCAAAGAAACCAGGGCCCAAGGACCAGGACAGAAAGGTCAATGGGGCTAAACATGAAAGGCCAAATGAAATTAAGTTACAGTCATGCCCTGTTAATGAACAAAAAGCAAGACATACCAAACCCCGAACTGACACCAATTTGCTTCAGGGGGCAATTAACAACAGGCATCTGAACCGGAAGCCAGAGCAGAAGTTTGTCCAGCCCTGCTTCAGACCCCGGACGCCATGCGTGCTGCCAACTGCCAAAGCCACTAGCCAGAGACCTTTGACCATTGGCCGCTCTCATTCCATAATTCCAAGCACTCCTCAAATAAGAGCCAATGGGGAAAAGCGCAACAATACCGTTCAGCAAAGAGCACAAACTGTCGATGCCAAGTCGAAAAGGGCTGTTCCCCAGAGCCAATCTTTGAGCAGGACAGCTCCCAAAACCCAGGCTGGCGGCCCAATGAGAGCTAACAGAGAAGTCGCGAACGGGAGTCAAACAAACCCCAATATGAAGAAGGCAACTGAGGATCGAAGGTACTGTGCTCTGGTTCTAAAATTTGTTTGCAACTTAAAATGATTTGGCAAGCCTACTTGATGAGAAAATAGTCCATAAATAATGTTTCCTAAGTCATTGGTAGCTGTGACCCCCCCCAAAAAAAAAGGAAGAGAAAAAGAAAACTTGAAGGAGATATGAGAAAATATTAAGATCTGGCAGAGCTTACATGTATTATAAGTCACTTCTCCGTAGCATTCCGTATGTTTGAAATCATCTACAACGGCAAAAAAGAAAGAAAAGTTGAACAGAGAGGAGCCAGAATAGTGAGTTCACAGAACGAGAAGGTGGGGAGATAGTGACCATTTGTTCAGAAGGCCAGGATGTTAAGTCCAGAAACAGGATCTGGAAAAACAGGAACGGGAAGCTTGCAGCAGTCTGAGTGGGCCACATTTTGGGAAGTATGCTAAGACAGAGTAGAGCAATCCATTCAAAACCAGAGCTCAGGGGGTCAGATGACAGAAATCGGAATCTCCGTTCTCTGGGGGTTAATGTTACACACTATGTGAAACTGAGCCACACGATTGTGCGCCATTTCTGCATCGGGGCCAGACCCAGTCTCAAAATGGTACACCTCCCGGCATGCATACCTGGTTGGGAAAGAAAATAAGAAAATTCCTGACAAAGGTAGAAGGAACAGGCAGAATTATAAAGTAACTTCAATGTACCCGTGTTGGGAGGGACCCTAACATAAAACGGCTATGGAATGAACACAAGATTATGCTGTGGATAGAGAGCCCTGACCAGCACGCTCCCTGCATCCTGAAGAGACAGGAAGAAGCAACAGATTCGAGATGCTGTGCAAGAGAGAGAGAGAGAGAGGCCTAGGATGGGTTCTGTAAATAGAAGGATCCCAAGAGATACTTTCCAAGCTAGTGACAGTGACATTGAAGCCGAGATCTAAGGTTGAGGAAAAGCTAGTGACGAAGCAAGCTATGTGCAAGACTGAGCTGGGGAATGAGGAAGTCGGGCAGGGTCTCTGTCCACAAGTTCACCATCTAGATTAGACAACAGTCGCTCATAAGACAGTATGTTGTGGGTTGAGCGTGTCTGACTGCAAAAACGAGGACAAATTTCTCACAACTTCTTTGCGTGCTTGCTCACCAACAATGGGCCAGGCCCTGGTAGGTGTGGCCCAACCATCACAACCTGTAGCCTATTGTCTGGGGTGTCATGTCAGAGTCTAGAAAATGAAAATTAGACCAAAGGTCCTGGTAATAAACTGTCTTCACAGAAGGAAAACCCCTTCATTTATGACTAGGAGGCAGGTGAAAGGGGTAGGAAGAGAACCAGGAACACAGAGGAAGCCGTGCCTGATGTCTCAACTGTTATTGTTACGTAAATAGTTAGGGTGAGCATGAGCCGGGAGGAGCTGCAGCTGAAATAACCCCTGTATGAATTGTTCTCTGGAGTCCAGGAGAGAGAACCAAGAGTGTTGATTCATTCATTCAAAAGTAGCTACGGGCACTTCAATTTTGAAAATGCAAGGGACAAAACACGTGCGCATACACACACACACACACACACACACACACACACACGGTGATTAGCAGGAGCTGGAGGTTGTGGCTGGGTTGACTAACAGGGACTGAGAAAGAAGCCTGGTGAGTGTTGCAACTATTTTATATCTTGTAGACGTTCCTTGACTTCATGAGTTTGTCAAAAATCTCATAGCTGCGCACTACAGAGCGTTGACATGTTCCTGAACACGTGCGTGTTCCAGACACTGCTGGGCACTGAGCATCCAGTGGGAGACAGGGGACGGCCTTCCTTGAGCTTGCATCGACCCCTGAGGCTGCGCTCTCCCACACAAGTCCAACATGATTTGCTCAGCAGATAGATTGAAGTAGCATGGTGAAAAGACACAATCCTGACACATACCTTTCCTGTTTTTAAACCACACGGTCTTCTATTTGCACAACTGCCTCTTGGCCTATGCACAGGTTCCATATGAGCGCCATTAAGTGTTCTTGAATTCCCATCCTTCAGCTGGTTACGATCCGCACAATCGGATGCCTTAATAAGGTCAGCAAAACACGAGTAAACCCATGTCTGATGTTCTCTGCTTTCCACCAAGATCCACCTAACCAATGATAGGAAGTAGCATTGGAGCCAAGAACTGAACACTGAAAATGCCAGGCCCTGGGGCAGGAATGAACTTGGGTCAGGATCTGAAGAGCAGGGAAAGGGCACAAAGGACCGGGGTATGGCCATGAGATTGGAGGGGTCAGCAGGAGCCAATTATCTTGGGCCTTTGGGGAACATTTTGAGTTTTATTCTAAGAATGACGGGAAGTCCCTGGCAGCAGCATGATCTGGTTTACGTTTGAAAGCTCACTCTCGCTGCTGCGCAAAGAGCGGGCTTCGTAAAGGTGAGAGAGAGTATTGTGCTATGAGGCATTTCAGACAGATGGCGGCAACTTGGACTAAGATGCTGGCAGTAGAAATCAAAGCGATATTCCATAATGATGTGTCGGGGGTGGGGGTGACCGCTCAGACAGCTTAGTGAACCAGTGAACCGCTCAGACAGCTTAGTGAACCACTTAGTGAACCAGGTGCTGTTGACCAAGGTAGGGAAGGCTTTGGGACTGGAATGGATCTGAAGGTGAAAGTCAAGTTGTTCTGTATGTTGGCAGTGCCAAATTTGAGATGTGTAGCAGGTGGCAAATTAAAGCTGTCAGCTAGACGCTGGCCTCTCTCCTGGCTGAAGGTGTATACTGGCAAGTCGTCGGTAGCTGGTCACTAAAAGACGTCAGGAAGCTCCTCCAGCTCCAGGCCCTGGGCTCTACGTGTCTGGTGCCCCGTCAGCAGCTGCCTGTAGGCCTCTGGGAAGCAGGAGTGGAGACCGTGAGCAGCAGAGATTTAGGGTTCGCACTGGGGACCAGTTGCTCACAAGCCCTAACCTTGCTGAGCTCCATGTGGACGTGGATGGCCGAGGGAGGGCTCAGGAGCTGGGGAAAATGAGTGAGGGGAGAAGGCAGGCAGAGATTTTGACTTGGCATTTTTCTCTTTCGTTCACTAATTAATGCAACCGGCTGGGTTGGTCTGAGTGGGCAACAGAGCACAGGCTAATGGTGGGGGAGAGAAGAGTGCCAAGTGAAGGATGGAGCCTGTCTTAGGAAGATGTCAGAGATAGCATACAGGTGAGCTGAAACGTCTCAGAGAAAGAGACTGAGCAACAGTCACGGAGCAGAAGCATTTGAAGAAGGAGAAGCTGACCACCTGTCGTGTGTGCCTTGGGGCAGGTGGGGCAGCCCAGTACTGTCATGACCCAATTGTAAACTGTCGTTTCTGGCTTTGCGTGTGGTTGAAGGTGTTTAGTCCTCCTCCAGCTCTGCATAGCCCATAAGTGAGCAGCCTGCCTGCGTATCAGCTAATCACCTGCCCCGCCCTCGTTGCATCACAGGAAACAGCTGGAAGAGTGGCAGAAGTCTAAGGGGAAGATCTATAAACGACCCCCAATGGAACTTAAGGCCAAAAGACGGGTGATCGAGGAAATGAACGTCTCCTTCTGGAAGAGTATGGAACAGGAAGAGGAAGAGAAGAAAGCCCAGTCGGCACTGTCGAGTAAAATTAACAGCACGCTAGCAGAATGCCTGCAGCTCATCGAAGGGGTGAGTGGGGAGGAGCAGCTCCCAGAGCTCTGCCACGGGGCCGGGAGTTTGGGGACGCGTTTCTTCAGTTTAATGTAGGGGAGTTAACGATTCCATATGTCTAGGTAGAAATGTGGCTACTTTTCCTAGAGAAGCCGGGTAACACTCATAACAACAGTGTATACTCACACCGTGGCCCTTGTGTGCCAGGCACTGTGGTCCACCCTTGACGTATATCATCTCATCACTGCGATTACTGCCCCCATTCAGCAATTGAGATGGAGACACCCAAAAAGTTAGGAGACCAGACCAAGCAGTCTAGTTCCAGGTCCGAAAGGAACTTGGCCTTCTCAGTGTACCAATGCCCAAGGAGTGGGCATTTAACATCCGGGCACATCAGGTCAAAAGCAAGGCCAGGTGTAAATACGCGCGGCTTGTTCTCGGTGCTCTGGGTAGCATGGGGTCTTCATTAGATCGTAGATTCTGCAGGTAAGAGTAAGGATAGGCACGGGATGATCCTTCCGAGATCCCTTGAAGGAAGCATAATGTAAAATGATGGGATATCCTTCTATAGGAAGGCTCCTTCCTGAAGCAAGCCCCATTATGTTGGAGAAGACTGTCAGCAAAGAGAGACGCTTCAGCTTAGGTCAGCTCTAGGCGTCCCTGTCCCGCCCCGCCCCCACCCCTCCCCCTAGGAGTCAGCCGAACATGAAGGTTGCTCCTTTGTGGAATTGAACTTTGGTCTTTTTGTTTTCATTCCTTTTCCTGCTACAACTTCTTAATTACTTGAGGGTTTGGGTTTTGTTTTTGTTGAGTTTTTTTTTTTTCATTAAAAAATGAATACATTTGTATTATTAAAAACATTGTAAACACTGCTGATAAATGAACAGCATCCCTCCCTCCACCCACCTCCCCCATACGCACACGTAAGCATCCTTCACTTCTCCCTAAGGTGGGCACTACTGCCAACCACTCTTCCATAGAACTACATGTTAATCGTGGAATCAGTGGCCCTACATGTGTGTGTATGCGGTTTCTGAGGCTGTAAATCTTTACAGGAGAACAACCTGGCTGCAGTTAGTGGCCCACCCCAAACCTGACAGTGCCACAAAGGTTCCCTATAGATGATTTAATGAATGAAATATTCTGGGAGTTGCCGTTCATTTGTCCCTGATTTTTACGTATGTTCTTAGGTGTGGGCGGAGGTCAGCTCACAAGCATCCTCCCTGCTGACAGACCACTGTCTCCCCACACCATAGGGGACATAGTGTCTCCCCACTCCCTGCCGCTGGGGACAATGGACAGGCTCCAGTAGGAGGAGTTCACATCCTACTGATAATGGTCTCTATCCGTTGGGCCAGGAACAAGTCAAAGGGCTCTGTGATATTCAAAGTTAGGCTGCCATCCTGTATCTAGGACCTGCCCATCCTGCCGCAGCGTGTATACCCCCAATCCCTCCTCTTCCTATTGCGTGGATACCCCTAGATCACCCCTTCCCATTACTGTAATACCTATAGCACAACCCTTTCTTCACCTGTAATTAGGGGGCTTGCAGGTCCCAAGAGAATATTAAAGATTTTCTCTCTCCCTCCACGTGGACCACCAGGAGGGGCTGAGGTGAGCATGCTACCATGTAATGTGTCTGACTCCATTTATTTCTATATTTCTCTTCTATCTCTCACGCTCTCTGTAACTTTACTATAATCCTTACTTATTATCTCTGTGCAATTGCACCTCCAGGCCCGTAACGATGTGCTAGGGGCTGGCTTCTCCTGGCTCTTAGGTTGTGCTTTGGGTTTGCCTGTGATCAGCGTGAAAGCTGTTTTGTCCATCAGTGGGCCGTCTTTCTTTTTCATGTACTCTGAAAGTCATTTATCCACAAGAACGTAGTCTTAAAGTGCGGCAGAACATGCCCTTACGATTATATGGACTTTGCTTCTTTGGGAATAGTTTTGTGTATCTTTTCAATTTCAATTTCTTCTGTTTGTTACTTTTTGTTTTGTTTTCAAGTTTTCTATTCTTGAGCTACTTTAGGACACTTACTTTCATTAGGTTTGGGGGTATATAATTCATATATAATTCAGTAGTTCAATATATCAAGAAGAGTGGTACAATCATCATCATAATCCGTTTGGGAACATTTCCTTCATTCGTGTACTCATCATTAATTATTAGCTGCCCTCTTCCCCTGCCAGACCTCCAAGGAACCATGGCTTCAGTTACCATCTCTACATTTACCTGTCCTAGATTCCATACACAGAAAGTCATTAGAAACAAAAAGAATAACAAGGTAAATCAGTGAAATAACAAAATAAAAACCTCAAAAGAAAAGAAAGCAGAAAATATTTATAACTAGAACAAATTAAATGGATCATAAAAGAGAACAAATGATAGGGTGCTAAACTTTAACCTAATTCCATCTGCAACAACCCCCTTCCGATGTTGCATTCTGCATGTTAGCAGGGCTAATCACATCCCTGTCCATGGTCAGGGGACTCGCCAGGGGCTTAATCAGTTGTTTGTTTTTATCTCTTTTTTTCTGTTTTTTTTTTGTTAGGCTTGCCAAAAATTTCTCTATTAATGTTTTCAAAGGCTCATTTTTTGATTTGTATTGATTATTTTTTCCTCTTGTATGAAATCTGTACCTATTTTTATATACTTTTGCATGATTTTTTTCATTGAAAGCTAAGGTCATTTATGTCAGTCTCTCTCTCTCTCTCTCTCTCTCTATATATATATATATATATATATATATATACACACACATATATTTATATATACATATATACACACACACACTTAAGTATTATAAATCTGTTTCTAAATTTTGCTTTGGTAATATATCTCAGATTTGAATACGTAGTGTTTTTTATCAGTAAAGGTCAAGTTTAAAAAAACAAAACCGGAACCACACTTGCACACCTGGCATTTCAATGAAAAGAATATCATGTAGGATTTGGTTGCATACTACTTCCTGCAGAAAGCCGAGCTGAGACAGGGATTTGTGTGAAAGGAGTTGATTAGTTAGAGATTCCCAGGGAAATGGGCAGGGGTGTGGTGGGGATACAGAAGCAGGAAGGAAGGGAAGCCAAGCAGGTAGAGAACCAAGCCCAAGAAGGGTAACTTTGGCTCATTCCCACGGAGAACTCGGAAGACAGGGACAGACACCTGTCCGGGAAAGGGAGTCTGGAGCATTAATGTTACCATGGTCACTGCTGTCGAGTCAGTCCCACTCATAGCAGCCCTGCAGCTCAAGCCAGATTGGCACAACGATATTGCAGTTTTCCTTTGTGTTTGAATGATTCCTCTAGGCTCTGGGGAGCAGGTTGTTTTTATACAAATAAAACTCTATAGAACATATCCCTTTACCTTCAGCCGTGATGTCTTTGGTCTTGTGTAAATTTAAAAATCATTGTCAAATGTCATTGAAATGTACACTTAGAGAGATGGGTGCTTTGTTTTGTTTTCTTTTAAGTTCAAAAAAATTTAGCATCAGACTGATTTCTGTGAGCCCCCAGGATAAACTTGGGAAGATGTCAGAGCAACAATGCATGGGCAACAATGCGTGCTGATACTTCCTCTGGGCAACAATGCGTGCTGATACTTCCTCTGGGCATTTTCTTTTTCCAGGGTGTGTTTTCTGATGAAGTGCTTACCATATTGTCCAGTATTCCTGAGGCTGAAAAGTTCGCCAAATTCTGGATCTGCAAAGCAAAGCTGTTGGCACGGAAAGGCAGCTTTGATGTTATTGGGCTCTACGAAGAGGCCATTAAAAACGGGGCCACAGTGAGTACCTGTCTGGAAGGGTGACCTGGAAATTCTCTGGCATGTGGGCTCTCTATTATTTGCAATATGACAGGTCCACAATGTGCTGTTAAGCATCTAGGTATCATTTCGTAAAGTGATGTATAGAATATAAAGTTATATACCGAATATGAATGTCCTTTAGGAACTGTAGGGGGAGGTCAGATGCTTAATCCTCCCTGAAAGCAATCGCTGCCCACTGCTGTCTCACCCCACCACAGGGGTGGGCCTGCTCCCTGCTGCTGAAGACAATGGATTACTTCTCCCTGAGGCTTGCCACCCAGTAGCTTGGTTCCCATTGGTGGAGTTCACACCCTACCGATAATGGTCTCTTATCAGTTGAGCCAGGGAACAAGTCAAACAGGCTGTGTGACATCCAAAATTAAGCTACCATCCTAAATCTAGGATCCGTCCATCTTGTCACATGTATACCCCCAATCCCTCCTCTTCCTATTGCATGTATGTCCCTAGACCACCCCTCTCATTACTGTATAACCTATAGTGCAACCCCTTCCTGTAACGTATGTCTTTACCTGTAATTAGGGGGCTTGCACACTCCCAAAAGGTATATAAGCCTGAGTTAGCAATAGAGATCTCTCTCCCTCCTCTCGCTCTCTCGCTGGTCTCTCCCCTCGCCTCTCCCATCCTCCTTTCCCCTTGTCCTCCTTTCCCCTGTCCTCCTTCCCTTCCCCCTCTCTCCACGTGGACCACCAAGCAAGGCTGAGGTGAGCAATGCTACCATGTAATGTGTCTGACTGCATTATTGTATCTCTCATGCTCTCGTTGACTTTAATATAATGTTTATATATCTGAACTGTACAATTGTGCTTACTGAACCTGAGACTAGCGGTGAGGGGTGCCCCCCCCCCCACTTAATACAAGGAACATTTTAGAAGAAGATACCGGTTTTGTAGAAAGCAGCATTACATGTAACCAGTAGATTCTATCACATCGGTTTGCTGTGGGGTTGCGGGGCTGGGGGAAAGAAGCTTTCACGCATCCCCATTTGCAACCAGCAAAGGGTCAGGACACTGGGCTGTGCATGGTGTCCCCCGGAAACTGCCTTGGAGAGCCCCTCCCCAGTTGACTGTTGGGATGAACTTGAGGGAAGGGGATTCTCACACAGCTTCTGGACGCCAGGGAGTTCTGGTGTGAAGAATGTACTTGCACGGCTTTTTGAACAGATGCGCAGGAGTTCTGATGTTAGTCTAATAACTCACTGCTGGGCCTTTGTGGGACCAGTGATCTGTGTCAGGTGGTATCTTAGCCACAACGCCAGCTTAAAATTGGACCCTCTGAAATTGTCTACCACCTCCCTTTGCATTCCAGCTTCCAAAACCTCACCGTTATTTCTTCTCGTTGCTTTTTGTGGGTTGTTGCCTTTATTTTATTTATTTATTTATTTTAATCCTTTTACTGGGGGCTCGTAAAACTCATCACAACACATCCAGGCATCCATGGTGTCAAGCACATTTGTACATTTGTTGCCATCATCCATTCTCAAGACATTTTCTTTCTACTTGAGCCCTTGGTATCGGCTCCTCCTTTTTGTTGTTGTTGTTGCGCCTTTATTTAAAACCCCTTTATTTATTATCGTGTCAGTGGAGCGTCAAGAGGGACTAGAATTAATGGGCAGTCAATGCACCATCTTTGTCCACCAGATACCCAAACCCATGGCCATTGAGTCCGTTCTGACTGACAGTTTCCAAGACTGTAAGTCTTATAGGAACAGACCGCCTCATCGTTCTCCTGTGTCACAATCTCTATCCAGGAATCTATAAACTTGATAGATGATTTATCTTTCCGAATGCATTCCATCTATACCCACTTCCCATAGTGTCAGCTTTTATCTGTCATTTATTTGCTACAAGTCAGGAAGACTCAGCTCCAAATAAATTGTATGAAAGTATCGTTTTCTTTCATGATGCTGTGATTCGTGGCCTGGGTCAGATCATTTTTAAGCGTGAATGATCTCAGATAGTTTCATCAGAAAATTACTTTTCTATAGAGGATTTTTGAGGTCTTGTTTGCCCGTTACAAGGTAAATTGCTATATTGCCATACAAAAGGAAAGGGGGATTGCTCAAACTGTTAACAAAAGTTGGATTGGGGTGATGAAATTTTGGATGGAATCTTTTTCTTTAGCTTAATGAGTTTTTTGGTAATGAAGTATATGACTTCTACAATAAAACAAAAACGAAACTAAAACTGCCATGACCCTAGAGCTGCTTCCCAGTTCAGATTAGACTGGAACAGGTACACAGGTATAGAAAGGGACGGGACCTCACGACACACAGAATCCAAGAGCGGGAATGGTGATGCTGGAAAGGGGGGAGAGGGGGAGAGGAGGAGAAAGGGGGTAACCAATCTGGTGATCAACACATGGCCATGCACCCCTCTACAGTGGGGAGGGCAGCAGAGGACATTGGGAGGGGAGACAGCAGTTAGTGCCAGAGATGAAAATAATAGCAATGTACAATCTATCTAGGGGCTTTGAGCGTGGTGGGAGGGGGGAGGAAAAAGAGCTGGTACCAAGGGCTCAGTAGAAAGAAAGTGGGTGTCTAGAAGAGAATGAGGGTAGCGTATGTACAAACATGCCTGATTCAGTTGGTGTGTGGATTGTGGTGGGAGTTGTGCGAGCCCCCGATGAAATGACTTAGTAAATAAATAAAAACTTAAGATATATTTTCCATGTGGCTAGCCTTTCTTTCACCGTTGGGTCAGAACCTTCCTGTGGGAGCACATCTTCAATGGAATTGTGCAAATCTCCAAGAAAATAGAGTTTGATTTGGAAAAGGGTTATCATCAACAGATTTCCACTAAAGTCAGGTGCCTGTATTTAACCAACATTTCTTCTGTTCCTTCGTTTTGCCCATGAAGTTATAAATCTGAGATGTTTACATGATGTTTTAAAAAAAGGAAACCTTCCTTTTTTACAAAAAGAAGTTCTTGATGTCTAAAGTTCGTTTGCTTATTTTCTTAATCAATGTTTTTAATGTTGCTTCTGTTTGCCTCTTCTATCCCTCCAGCCAATCCTAGAGTTGCGGGAAGTCATACTTCATATTTTGCAAGACCCACAGAGAACCACAGAAGGTACTGCTTTCTTTGTGTTTGCTTTTGCGCCCTCGGGCTGGTAAGGAAAAGTCAGTCACCGAGGAAAAGAAACTATGTACAAGAGCCCCAAATCCCGCTCCTGGTTCTTTGGCCTGGTCTTGCTGCATGGTCATCAGTGAGTTACTCCGTTATTACAAGTCAATGTAATCGCCGGATTGTGTTTTCCAATCTTCCAAGAAGAAAGATCCTCCTTCCTGTTTCCATCATTCACAGTTCACTCTCAAAGAATGATCCATTATTTTGGTGCGCATTTGATTGATTTCAGACCATAGAAGCTGGTGAAAGTCTTTCAGCTCTTCACTTTGGGCGTTGTTAGTAGCTTTGTGTGAGTTCCAAGAACAGGCATACGAGCAGGTGTTCCGTGTAGGCGTATGAGTGTTATCTTACCCCAGGGGGTGGACGTTAGGATAGACCTTGAAATGTTCTGTTTAATGAGGAGGGATGCCATTGGTCCTCAAACTGTCATTCTCAGCATAGTCCCATGATCTGACACTGTCTACGTCGGAACAAAGGAAGTAAACTTTCAACTAAAGTATTTGGTCTTTCACCAGAGAAGACAAAGTCCCGTATATACTCGTGTATAAGCCGAGTTTTTCCAGCACATTTTTATGCAGTTTTTGTGGTACAATTAGGTGCCTCTGCTGATATTCAGGTCAGCTTATGCTCGAGATATATGGTAAATGTAGTGCTCAGTGCCGAACATCCGTTGTTGGCACTAGAGGAACCTGGACTACAGCTCCTGCTTCCCGGCATCCTCGAGGGAAAGACAAACGCCTTTCTCAAGAGACTGAGGAGGCCAAGTGGAGAAAGGCCTTGGTTTAAGTCGCATGAAGTTTAATCAGAACAAACCGGTCAACATGTGCACCTCTAAAGTTACGTGCCGCGTTAAGGATAGCCATCTGGAGGCTCTTTGCTCAGTTAACCATTCCTGTCACTGGTCAGATTGTTAGGGGAATTTTCTTTAATATTTTGCCCAACACAGTAAATGACTCATATTACAATTGCTTAAAATATTTGTTCTATGAATCGAAAGGGGGCAAAAACAAGCTGTTAGAAAATAAAAGGATGCTTTTTATTATTCCACAATGTGACAACTCTCTAAGAACAAATTAAACTTTGGGGTTCAATCGAGTCATTTGGAATTACAACTTCATAGCACATTACTTTTGGGACTAGGGTCATAGAGTGTTCATCTCGATGGTAGACTCGCCGGAAATGGTGCTACAATCCAGATGTTTGACTATAATACCTGGTCGAGACCTTCAAAGGATGAAAGCAGAGTCAGAATTCAGCCTTTACAACTCGTTGACTCTCTTGGCCTCTTTGGGTCTCAGCCTCTAGTCGCAGTGCCAGCCTGCTTCTGCCTCAATTTCCTGCCTCTCGTTGTGGTCACTGCTAGTGGGCTGTCATGAAAATTTTGTCAGCGCCAGACTTTTTTCACCCACTGTCCAAGCCGGTAGCCACGAGGTTGTCCCTGGGAGAAGGGGCCAGGAGATCGAGCGAGTGACCCCTGGGAGTCGAAGGTCCGGTGTCCACGTATGTGACTAGTCCCTGCGGGAGTTCTCCTGAAGCTCAAAGAGTGGAGAGCGCAGGGCAGCAAGGGTCCCTCCACAAGTGCTGGGGGCTGGAGGAGCTCAGGGCATGGCTACAGCGCTTTGACGAAAAAGACCAGCTCTGAGTCCACTTACAATCAGCCCCTCCTTAGTCTAGTAGACAGAGCCCACGGGTATCACTAGACATCATGATATGCGGTATGCTTTCCTTTCATTGATTTTTAGCTTAACGATCAAGTTGCTAAGCCAGACTTTCCTCTTGGCATTGCGTCCTCAGGAATTACCTCTGACTCGCTACGTGCCGAAGAGCTGATCAAGAAGGTGGAATCTGAAAAGGCTTGTCTTGCTTCAAAAGAGAGAGGCAAGGCAGGCGAGGACACCCATCCTGGCATCAAGTTACAGATCGCCCCGGTCCCTAAGTAAGCACATGCCATCATGCTTTGTGTTCCTGGGTCTCCTTCCAGCTCTGTTGGCAAGTTCCCCTCCACAGGCGCAGAGTAACAGCAGCGATGGGTGCCGTCTGCCGTCTCCGAGGCCCAGGCAGTCCAAGCCAGCTTTGGGGCTGAGAGTGCGGGGTGGCCCGTGTCCGTGTTATGCACACACACCGTGCCCCCTCCCACCGCACGCGATGAGACCCCACCCTCGGGGAGGAAGGTGGAGTGGTGATGCAATGGACCCCCCTCTCCCTCCTGGAGACAGCCCTCTCTCCTCACCCTCACTTGCCTGGACGTGCAGATCGCACCTCCCTCACCTGGCAGGGGGTGAGGGCCCCCTGGTCCCAAGCAGGGGCAGCCTGCTTTGTAGCTATGAAAGAAACCACTTCAGACTCCTAGTGACCCAACCTGACAAAGTAGAAGTGCTCCCCAGGGGTTCCAAGGCTGTAACTCTTCACCACAGTAGACGCCCCATCTTTCTCCCTTTTGAACGGCTGGTGGTTTTGAACTGCCAACATGTCAGTGAGCAGCCCAGCACGTAATCCTCTGTGCCATTGCGAGCCACCCCCACCCTCAGCTCCTTCCACCTTTGTGTGTGATAGCAGGGAGGCCAGTTGAGTCCATAGTCAAAGACTGCTCCTAGTATCAGAACCATTTGGTGTTTGAACAAGTATATGTGGAAGACAGATCCCACACTAATGCATATCCTTAGTATATCAGGGTCATTTTCTAAAATGCTCATGTAACATCACGGCACTCTGCTCATGATCTTGAGAGGGACATTCCAACAAGAGCACGGATACATTTGCATTTCCTGGAAAGCGCAGTGACACCCCCCCCATCCTACACTCCTGTCCAGGACCAGCCCCTCCCCCCTACACTCAGCTCCATGTTCAAATAGACGGAAGCAGGCTCCAGACCAATTAGGAAAGCTTTTTAGCAGACTTGCTTGCTAGTGTTGCTAACCAAAACTCAAACCCACAACAGTGCCAACTCCTACAACCCTATGGGACACAGTAGAACAGGCTTTCCAAGACTGTACTCTTCCTGGAAACAGGCTGCTCTCTCTTCCTCCTGGGGAGCTCCTGGGGGATTTGAACTGCCAACCTTTTGCTTTGCAACCAAGCTCTTAACCATTGCACCACCAGGGTTCCTTTTAGTTTTGCTTAGATGAATATTACCTAGTTTTGTGACCAAAAAACCCTAATTCACTGCGTGAATTAGGTGCAGAACAGGTTTCTGCACCCTGTTCTCTAGGCTGCTTTTCTGTTGTAAAGAGTGTAAGGATGGCGCCATGTTGGTTCCCATTGCATTCTGTGGCCTGGTGTCCACCATCGTAAATCTATATTTTCAATAACTTTTTGTCAAAGCTAGAAAAAAGAATCTTAGAATTAATTAATCCAGCCCCATTTGGTGATAAGCTCAGTTTGCTCAAAACCTGTCAGCTCTTTTGAAAGCTTCGGGAGTAAACAAACACTAACTGCCAAGTAGTTGGCCTCAAATAAAAACTGCTTTCGTGCAACGAATCCCTGTACTTCCACCATCATAGCGCTGCGGATGGACAGGGCCCAGTTCCCTCTAGATCCCAGGGGAAAGCCATCTTGTGTGTCAGCCAGCCCCTCTAACGTGTCTGTCATGAGTGAAGTGTGTGCCGGGGTTTATTTTAGAATAAGAAACAAAATATATTTACTCGAGTTTCCCAAGAAAGTCTAAGATTCTGAATGAATCTCTCTTGTCTCCCACTCACTCTCTCAGACTAATTGGAATGCCAGACATTCAGGACATGAAGCTCATCACTCCTGTCCGGCGATCAACGAGGATCGAACGAGCCGTGTCCCGCTACCCAGAAATGCTACAGGACCATGACCTGGTAGTGGCTTCCCTGGACGAACTCTTAGAAGCGGAGGAAACAGAGTATTTCATATTCCGCCGAAACGAGGCATTGCCCGTCACCCTGGGGTTTGAGATCCTTGATGGATAATTTCTTGATTCCTTGAGGGGAAGGCCCCTGGTGTGTCCAGTCCTCCCCGCGACAAGAATTGTCTATGTCTGACAGACATGGCGTAACGTGGACAATGAACACCAGTTACGGGCTCTCAGAACTTTGAGAGTGATTCACTAGACTTCACTCTGAGGTTTTGTATCCCGACAGGAAGACCTGGTGTACAGGATTCATTTAAGAATGAAGTTGACCACAGTTCTACAGCATGCCTAAATTTCCAGCTACTGAGTTCTAACTCCCACAAGCACCACGAAATTTGCACTTTATTCATCTACTTTAATCCCAACCTAGCTAACTTTTGTATCAGTGAGTTGGTGCCAAAATAAGAGTTTCCCTTTTTGTCCACCTTAGCAAAGAGAGCATGTTCTCTGACCACGTGGACAGTGGGAGCTTTGATGCTGGCTGGGACCTGGCAGACCGTGCAGTCAAATCCTTTCACTGTGCAGACGAGTTGATCCGAAGCTGGAGCTTGGCTCCGAGATGGCAAAGGCCTGTGACGCCTGTGCTTTGACTTGCCCTCTCCGTATCCTTGTCCACGAGGAATACTTCTCGGCCTTGCAGTGCCAGGTTTCCTCCAGTGAGGCAAACCCCACCCCACCCCGACCCCCGTCGGCGTTTCACCCAAACCTAATGGAGAAGGGTCGACAGGGTGACCCTGCAAACTTACTTCTGTGGTTGTCATTCAGATATTCTTCAAATGGGGGCAGGGGGAGGGATGGGGGGAGATGCCTTGCTTCTTCTTGCTCTGCTGAAGGGGGTGGTTGCTGTCCTGAGAAGGAAATGAAAGCCCCTGAGACCACTATATACCGTGTATACTCGAGTATAAGCCAACCCGAATATCAGCCGAGGCACCTAATTTTACTACAAAAACTGCATTAAAAATGTGCTGGAAAACTAGGCTTACACACGAGTATATACGGTAGGTTAATATTTGTTCTTCCTGGTCAACTGTTCTTGGGAGGGTAGAGTCCAAATCATTATGTAAATACAATGTACAGAAAAACAGTGGTCTGTTTTTTTTATTTTCGTTTTCTTATTTAAATATTTCTTTTTTTTTAATGAATTTTTCTTAGTGTTTAAATGTCTGCTTATTCATTTATCTTATTATAGAAAACTGTGAGGATAGCTTCTCTGGGGACAAGACGTAGGAGCTTGTCTGGGAAAATACCAAGAAGTTATTTCCCAAGAGGCCTGACGGGGAGCACTTGTGACCCAGGAGTGCGTCCCTACCCCACCCGGGCACTGGCTTTGTGCATGTGAGGGAAACACCCTGCCTCTTGTAGGGTCAAATTTACCGTCATGGAGTTCCTAAAACTGAGGTTAAAGAAAAAGATAATGTCGGTACACTAATTCTGAGTAAGACATAGAATGAACCCCAACTAACGAGCCTTCCCTTCCCCCAGAGAAGCCTGTCTACCCTGTGCCCCCCCTCTCGAGAAGCCTGCGTAGAGCAGACACGTTTTAGAGGGAGACACGCCAGGCGCTACTGCCGTCTTCATGCAGAACGGCCCGGAGAGCAGAAAGAGAGGGGAGAGAGTTTGCATCTATTAGAGTTGATGATGTGCCTACCCTCCACTTAACCTTGTGCATACTAGAAAGGACGTCTGGATTTGCCCGCTGGCAGTACCGCACCCAGTCTCCTTAAGAGTCCTTGCCCCACTCGGAGTCTGGGTGGTTTGAGCGGCACAGACTCACTCGGTCAGCTGCACACATCACTGCCCGAGGGATTGTAAGGAGGATGGAGTCACATGTATCAGAACCTGTAAGAGTTCATTTCTGGAACATTTGTTAGGAAAAAAGACTAGTGGGGTTGCTGAAAAGCTAGGATGGAAATCTTTTTTTTTTTTTTTTCACGATCAAAGAAGTTTATTAAGGAAGTTAGCAAGTTGTAATGCCAATGCCAGAGTTGGTTTTTTGTTGTTGTTGTTGTTTTTAACATTTTATTAGGGGCTCACACAACTGTTATCCCAATCCATACACACATCAATTGTGTAAAGCGCATTTGTACATCGTTTCTCAAAACATTTTCTCTCCATTTAAA